ATTTGTTATTAATGATTTTGAAGAATATTTTTTTAATTATTTCTAATAGAATAATTGATCTTGTACAGTTTAAGTTATATTGCCAATCTGCTCTTTTAGGAATTGGATAGATATTGATTTTGTTCTACTGCTTTGAAATTTCTGTTAATTCTAAGATCCTGTTAAAGATTAATATAATTTTCACAATTCCTTTGATGCCAAGATATTTTAATATAACTTAATTTAGTTTAAATCTAGAAGCTGATTTTACTTTTGTTTTTGTGATGGTAGTTTTAATTTTATTTATTGATATCAGTTGTGTCATTGGACTGTACCATATTATATCAATATTTGGTTGTACTAGATATCTTTTATTAATGCCATAGAGAGCGACCTTGACGAGCAACATCAAGCTGCTTTCTTCCAGGTTGGATTTTTTTTAATATTTTATTATTTCTTTGTCTAGATCTTTAATTTCTATTATGATATTAGAAAAATATAATGTCATATTGTTTTTGATTTCTTGTGAAGCTGTGATAACATTAATGTTTTATATTCTGATTATTAATTTGTTTATTATAATACATGTTTTCTGTTGATCCAAAATTGTACTAATTATTTTCTTGAAATCATATTTTATTTAATATATATATTTTTATTTATTATTTGATAATAGCTCTATTTTTTTTCTAATTTTTTTTTATAGTAGGTTTCTTGTTATTTTGTATATTTCCTATATATTATAGAACTATTTTCTTGTAATTAATTCTTCAGCTAATCTATCATTTATATGTTATCAATGTTTTTATGTTTATGTTTTATTTTGTCTATAAGCTTTGAAATTGCTTGCTTAGTTATATCTGGATTTTTTTTGTTTTTAAAAAAATAGTTTTTCCATATGCTAATCTTTTTTAAAATAAGTAGGTATTGTGTTTTTTCAAATAAAACCAGTTTTTTTTCTTGATAATGTTTTTGATTTTTTTGTTTTTTAATGTGTTAATGTATTACTTTGCTAATAACATATTAGATAATATTTTATAGTTTGTTGCTATTTATCTTTATAGTATTGTATTTTAAGTTTTATTCAGTGATTTGGTTTTTTATCTATTGTTGAAATTTCTTCTATTGTTTTGAATTAATATTTTTGAAATCAAAAATAATCATCTTTAATAGTTTTTGTCATCTTTTCTATTGTTGAATTATTTTGGTGACATTGATTTCACAGATATATATGTTATGGTTACTATATGTGAACATATTTAATATAATAATATCAGTATATATCAAGTTCCTATTAAATATTTTTATCTAAATAAAGTCTTGTATTTAATATCTATTTGCAAAATAATTTTTTAAAGTAATTATTAAAAAAAAAGATTAATAAAAATATTGATAACTTAAAAATATATTTATTTTCTTATAATAAATTAAAAATTTTATTAATTATATTTAATATGTAATATTTAAAATTATTAAATAAATTGAATAATATTTATAATAATATAACTATTGTACTAAATAATATTAGTCAATAGAGATTATAAGAAGATATAATATATTAATTGAATAGAATAATATTTAGAAAAGTTATTATTAATATTAATTATAAAGTATTTTTTTTAAGTAATATTTTTTTTTATATATAAAAATATTTCATATAAGTTTTAACAATTGCATTAATATTATATAAATTAGAATATTGCTTTGAAATTTAAGACTAAACTATAAAATTTAATTGGATTTTTGATATTTGTAAATATTTTAAATCAATTGGATTTTAGCTCACAATAAATTTTTTTTATATGTTTATCAAATTTTCTTTAATTTAAATTTTTTTATTTTTAATATTAAAAATTATTTTATATATTAATATTGTAAAAGCGATATACTTTAAAAAATTTTTTTTTAAATATTTAGGTATATCATATATATTATTATTATTTTTATGGATTTTAAATGAAATTTTTTACAATTTTTAATAAAAATTTCAAAAAATTGGAAAAAAGTTTAATTGTTAATTCTATAACAAATAAAATCAAATCTTATTGTTATTATAGATAATAATAGTTTTTTTAAATATGTTTTTTATTTCAATAATTTATTTTTTTTGCAAAATTTTTATTTATTCAAAATTTTGATTATTACATATTTCTTATTATAATTGTCAAGAATATCAAGATAATAAACAATATATACTATATATATATAAATAGATATTGGCTTATTTTTATATAGAATTAAAGGGTTTTAATTTTTTAAACATAAAAATTTTGATAAATAACTATTCAAGATTTTTAAACATATTATATATAAAATAAAAATACTTTTCAATATATATTTTTTAATTTAAAATATAACAACAAAATTTAATCTTTGGTTTTTTTATGTTTCATATTACTCGAGTAATTAATTATTTGTTATAATAAAAAACATATGAAAGAATTTTAAACAAAAACAAACTATAATAATTAATTATAGTATATTAGTACTTAGTATCTAATATTCTAACTTGTTCAGAACAAAAATATTCATAATATTCATTTCGATGATTTGATGGTTTAAAGCTTAATGACATGTAAGATATTAATAATTAATAAAAAATTCGAAATTTATTTCAATTTCATAATAATACAAGTAGGATATTAAAAATTTCACATTTACAGTATAGGAAAAAAAATCCGAGATCAACTGTCACTAATCCTTTGAATTATACTTACAGTCCATAACAAAAATTCTAATAATTGCCTGGATCAGAATGCTCAAGAACATTACAAAACTTACCAGAACTGCAGCTTCATTGTCTTATCACGTTATAACGAGACAGTCCTGTGATTGTGAAAATATTTAATTGTTAAAATAATTGGCATAGCCTTGTAAAATCCAAATAAACATTGGTTACGTTGCTCAGACGCAAAAAAAGATTAAACACACAATGAGGGCAAAGGTGGGTTCGTCATATTTGAATGTACCTTTGCTGATCTCTTATTCAGTCTTTTATTTTTTCTATCATTGCAAAATCTCAAGTCGTCTCTTTAAAAAAGCAAAATCGAGAAGCTCTTACCTGATAGCAGTATCGCATGACGTGCAAACAAACAAACTCGCGGAACGAAACTTTATTTTATAGTTTACTAAGGTCGTATATTGTTCTTTCGAAACATGACTCTAAATGAGAGCAATAAAGTTAACGTCGGCATAGGGCAATTCAAAATCGAGAATCAAAAAATTTTTTTAATAATATCTCATCGATCTTGGTGATAAATAAAATTGCTATCATTATTTCAAAATACTTTTTTAATCATTGAACATGAGGTTTTTTTTTGTCTTATAGAGAGAAAAACTTACATGGCAGAGGGTAATTTGCAAAATGCGAGATGAAGATTTTTTTTTTTTTTTAATCAAATATAGCGATAATCACATGATACAGTCGGTGATCTATTGTGCTGCTATATAAGACACGTCGACCAAGAAGTTGTTACTTGCACAAAATATCAAATATCAAACATCATGAGGTAAATTATAAATGATCTGAGACGAACTCAAACTTGTGAGACCTAGGATCTTTTTGGTGTGTTTTTGAAGAGATGCAGCGAAACTAATATAATTTAACAATAATTTAGTGCGCCCGTGAAATCAAAGGCTGAAATGAGCGAAGAAGAGCTTCGTCAGCTCGAAGAAAACGAATTTAATACTGGTCCTTTGTCAGTCTTACAACAATCGGTAAAAAACAATACCCAGATCTTGATAAATTGCAGGAATAACCGAAAACTACTTGCCCGCATTAAGGCGTTTGATCGTCATTGTAACATGGTATTGGAGAACGTCAAAGAGGTGAGTGATGGTTAAACAGTGATATGGTAATTTAACATGTTGATAGCTTACACGCTTTGAAAAATGAATTTAGATGTGGACAGAAGCTCCAAAGGCTGGTAAGGGTAAGAAAGCTAAGCCGGTCAACAAGGACAGATTTATCAGCAAGATGTTTTTACGTGGAGATTCAGTCATCCTTGGTTTGTAAAATCTTGTTTGGACATAATATTCTTTTTTTTTTTACGATATTATATTAACTTATTTTCCCTTTAGTGCTAAGAAATACGGTATAATAAATATTCGAGTTTTTCAAAGAGTGTAACCTTTTCCACAAGGTATGACGCGCGGAAAAATAAAAAAAATAAAGGGCATAATTTGATATTTATTGGTCGTTTCGTCTCCATTATTTTTATTGGATTCTTATAGATAAGATAAATGAGCATAAACCTTGCTGTCGTCGAAAGTTAATGAGACAGGTATTTTCTACCCTTTAGACGCCTTCTGTACAATACTTTTCGACCAGATTTGGTTCTTAATCTATTCATAAATCCGTGCCTACGTTTTCTCACAAAGTTGCTCGGCTGATACTCCCTTCCGTACGCTCTAAATCGAACTTGAGAGGACCAAAAGATATTTGTAGCATTGATTTGTGGTGTGATTAGATGTGTTGCGGACAAGCTGAAACCAACGTGGTTAATGTACAAAAAAAAGTTTTTTTTTTTTGGTTGGAGAATTCGGTTTACATTTATTCGAAATTTTTCATGGGCTTACTTCGAACTCGAAAATCCGGTTGGAAAAATATAAGTTGGGAGGCTTGAGGGAGGAGGAACATTTCGAGTGATTGAGATTATCGGATTAATTCTTCGAGTCAAAGATGAAAACATTTTGTCTGAAAATTGCTAATTCTATGAACGAACGCTTATAGTTTTATCATCATATCTGACCAATCATCATTCTGTGTGACAATAACGTGTTAACATTATACCCAAATTTCATGCAACCTTTGCGCGTAATCATCGAACGCGCTATCCCCCGTTTTGAAAATTTGGCCACTCCTTGACACAACAACAGTGTCAACGAGAGGTAAAAGAAATTCAAATAAATCAACATTATCCATGGGATTTGTAATATTCTTCAATGGTTCAATCCAACCTTGAAAATCAGATAACACGAACGCGCAAGGAAATTCTTCAAAAAATTTTGATAGTCGGTGATCTGACCTCATTAAATTCGTTGAGAGATATATTATCGGAAAATGTCTCTTCTCCGGTGGAAGTGATTCGATGCACCTTGATGCCAAGATTTGTGTTGAAGTCGGTTGGAAAGAAGGCTCTCGAGCGAATAAGGTATTATTATTATTATTCACTTCTGGTGATGAATTGGTCAGTATCTTTTTGATTAATTCATCCATTATAGGTTCTGCGTCGTCGTCAGATATATGACTTGATAAATTAACGTGCACGCCTAAGTAACTTGCCGGGCCACCTAATTGTATAATGATTAATTCCGCGGCATTAAGTACCTCCGGGTGACCAATCAACATATGATTTTGAAGCTCTTTCTGAAATTCGTCGTTACGATCCAATTCCAAGTTCAGCCGATCGATCCCGGATAGAGATCCAAAATGCAGAAGAAGTTCATTTCGGTTTTGTAGAGTACACAAGTGAATCATATACTTATATTTATGGTCGGACGACTTATTCTTCAAACCATCATAAAATTGGTAATCATATAGCTCCTTGTCAGGAATGAAGTGAGTCTGACCTCCGAAATCGGTGATATTAATAAAAGAGTAAAGGCCAGGAAAGTCAGAGCTCTCTCGCGAAATTACTCTGACTTGTTCTTTTGGAAATTTCATATCCATCAAGACATCCCAGCTCACAAGAGTGTGTAGTCCAGGTTGAACTTCCTTTGAGCATTTGGCATGTTCAGAATCCCAGACGCATTCGCTGTTGTTTTCATTATACAATTTTAGAGCAATCAGGTCTTTATATAAATAGTAAGAGGGCTTGTATATTAAAATCTCTCTGCCAAAGATTATGGGCGGCAACAATAAAGTACGATTGGTTGCCCAAGCCAAAAATATTGCGTTCTCTAGACTCGTAAGTTGCTCGTGGAAAGTACCGTGTGGAAGGTATGCAAGGTAGCGTATTTCATCAGTGTCATTTTGATTCAAGCAGACAGAATTTGAAAGATTGGTACTATCGAAAATGGACGGATCTTTTTCGGCGAATGGTTCAACATCCACCACCGATTTCTCTGATACGTAGGTGAAAAGTAGGAATAGAACGACCACTGAAAATACAAGAAAATAAATTAAATCCCTTTTCAACGTCATTGCTGACCGACCATCCCAACTGCGTAGTACTTATAATATGTGTTGAATTAAATTTGTACTACGGAAGTCCATCATATTCTAAAAACGGGGTTAGATGTCATTGGTTAAATTCCATAAAATTCGAACATCGAGTTCTTTCAGTAAACCTCACATTAAACGTCTTTCACCGTTTCCCTTGCGACAAATGTCCGGTAAAGTTTCAGACGTCGTCCAGAAATTGTGGACAACGTATTCCAGAAACACCACACAAAGCCTCAAACTTATCGATGCTTATTTGGTTTTTGTCCTTTTCTCTGGAATCTTCCAATTCATATATTGTGTTCTCGTCGGAACTTACCCCTACAATGCATTCCTAGCCGGTTTTATCTCGACCGTCGGATCATTTGTGTTGGCTGGTGAGTTCAATTCACCATCTTTTTTTCCAATGACACTTTTCTCAAAAAGTAACTTACCCTCGATAAAATCTTAGCTAATCTTCGAATACAAACAAATCCAGAGAACTCTGGTGAATTCAAAGGAGTGTCACCAGAAAGGTATGAATCTCAATCTTTTTATCATTTTCAATGCTTCAATCTAATATCGTTTTAATAATATTTTTGTGTAAGCAGAGCTTTCGCGGATTTCGCATTTTGCAATATTCTGCTTCACTTTTTCGTCGTCAATTTTATTGGATAGAAAAAAAAAAAATCACAATTGTTCATGTTATCTATTTCTATGCATAAAAAGGTGCAACTATAAATTACAATGCGATGATGGTTTGATGTATATGGATTTGACATGGAAAATTACAAAAATAAAATCTGATTTATTTGTGTAAAGGCGGATGAAAATCATTGTCTTTGAATTTGGAATAACATCAGATTTCTTTCATATTTATCCTGAATTCTCGGGGATAACCTTTTTTTGAATTGGGCACAAATAATATCTCATTGACGATTCTTTTTTTCTCGAATTGCCTTAAAGTTCCAATGGTATAAAGTTCCAGAAGGTCATGGTCAAAATTATCATTGTTGTTGTGAGCGTCAACGAATTGTTTAGATAATCCTTTGGTGATCCGATAGATGTAATTGGTGAAGTGCTTGCCTCTATAGTATTTGTCAAATAAACCTTCCGATGTTTTATGAAGGAATTCGATTCGGAATTCAGGTGGCGGAGAAAAGATACCAAGTAACTCCCAGTATTTTTTGTCGTTATGACCTTTTTCGCCGATAAATTCTTTGTTGATCTCAAAATTTTCTAACCTTTCCTCGATGGATTTTTCACCCACCGTTTCATTGCTTCGGTGCACGATCGCATAGTCAAATTCCTTGAGATCAAGGTCTTTGAATTCGACGATTTTAGTGAAAAAAATCATGGCAAAAGTTGTATGCTAAAATGTTGAATGAAAAAAAAAGAAATTGAATTTTCTGATGCCATGAATGTGTTCTGGGTTTTAGATATTTATATTTTTTTCCTGACGCGTTCGAGAATCCTCAGGAATTTAGAGATGTTACACAGGCCTGACTAATTTTTATCTATAAATAGACACTAAATGATTCATTCTATGAACATTCCATCGGGCTTCTTTTTGACATGGAATTCCCGAACGTGGGAAGCAATTGTTCTTTTCAAGAATGCAAGCAACTTGGTATGATAAAGCACCGACAAAGCCTTTACATAAAATTTTGTTTTTTAGCACCCCCCAAACTTATTATTTACTGCTTACCATTCAAAAGACTTTCTTCCTTTTTATTGCGCTTGTTGCAAATCAATGTATTGGTACGATAGGAATTCGTTCTAATGTCCTTCGTGTACAAAAAATTTACCTGCAAATGGAGCAATCGCTCACCAAATAACTTTTATAATAAAAAAGTTTGGACCACAGATATCCAACTGTTCACCAATGTTCAGGTTGGGGAGAGAGCGAAAAAGTAGGTTTGAAGGATGAAAAACCAAGTGATTTCATGCTCTTAAATTTATTTGATTTCAAAACACTCAAACCAATAAAAATGTAAAAGAATATTCGATTATGTCCAACCTGTTCACTGATGGTATTGATATCACCTGGAACATCTGATGAGAAAGTTGTAGGTGTTCATCTTTTTGTCATGAAAACCCCTTTATTCTCCCGTTCATTTTGATTTTAACAATAAAAATCACATTGATTTAACTCCTGTTGTAGTTGGATGAGCACCTAAAATCAAATTGCACGTTGCATCTATTATCTTCACCGCCATCAGTTTCACGAAAAAAATGCGATCTTAAAGAATGCAACAACAAGTCTTCGGATGTCGGGGTAATGGTATACGTCATTTGTGATGGATGCGGAGAGACCTTTTGTCTGAAGTAAGATTTTCTTTTCTCCCATTACACATCTTGCCGTAATGTGATGTCATTAACTTCCAAATTTGGAAAGACATCGTCACCCGTCAACACATCAATGTACATCGCTAAATGACCACGCAGAGGCAAAGGCAAAAAGGCGCCAGATGGCAGAAGAATTGATTTCCAGATACTTCAAAAAATCATCCAATGTTGCCGGTAGCTCCAAGTCGTCCGCAGCTGCGACTACAAAAAATTCGAAAAAGAAAAAAAATAAGACGATCGAGACCATGAAACTAAAATCAAAAGCTCAGGTGATTGATTCTTCACTTTAAAAAATTAGTGTGTGTAGACAAAAAATCTAATGAAAAAAATAAATAGGGTGACGATTCGATCCCCCTGGATTCCAGATTATACCTTCTAGTTGTATTCCCACGTGATTCTAATCTCACCAGTAAACCAATGTTCTTTAATAAGGCAAGTAAATAAAAAACTCAATGCGTGTATCAGTGCTTTGTTTGTCCATGTTAAATTGTTCTATTATTAGAATTGGGTGATAGGTAAGGTGCTCGATAAGATTTCTAAAGAAGGAAGAATTCGGAATGTGAACAATCAACTGCCATTAGACGATCCTGAGGTGGGTACTTGTATTTCGACTCATTCCCTATTGACGAATTTTCTCATCGAAGTCTTTCCCTTCGGTTTACTAAAGAGGTTAATTCTATTGAACTTGGAATCTGGTAACACATTAAGCACGGAGAAAAGATTATCGGAGCTTGTGGAAAGCGGAGATTCTGTTGGATTAGAAAAGTTAGGGGATGTAACAATTGATAAATAGAATTAGGAAAACTTTTATTTTGAATTATTATTTATTTTTTCCATTTGAGATCCTAATATGCTATATACTTTCTATTGATATCTGGAAATGGACAACTATTCCTATGTTTGGGCGGAAACAATGTAAATTCAAAAGTACCATTCCGGGAGCTTATAACTCCGAAATCCGAAAATAATTGTACGAATATAAAGTTTCATTATCACGTTTGTTAAACCATATCCCCAAATTTTCCATGCAAGTCATGAGGAACGCGTTGCGCGAAATGGTAAATAATCCCTTAAATTTCCTCCGTAAAAGATTGCTTTATGGAAATTTCCACGTACTTCATATTTAGTAAATCTTAAATGCAATACTATAACGATTCGAATCATGCATCAAAAGCAATGATTTGTCCAGTCACCATGAGATTCTTTGGTTGAAGTCTCATGAGATGCCCAAAGATGATTGTGTCCTGCATACTTTGAAGCTCTTCTTATCTTAAAAGAAAATTCTTTGGCTAATCCATCTCTTTCGATATTCCTAATGTTGTGGCACATGTTTGACAGTTGCCCGACTATCTCCGACAGAAATTACAGTTTATCATTCACGCAAAACTACCAAATAAAGTATATTAAGAAAGTAGGTTCGGTCCGAGAAGTCGGACTCGATCTAAGGCCGACTATTATTAATCTAATCAAAAAAGTATAGCTGATCCTTCTATGCCTCAACGTTGAAACATTGCAAACCCCCCGAGAATCATAGAGTATTCATAAAACGTAAACTACTTGCTTCGTTTGTTTTCTGTACTATATTACTTTTTTTTTTATTGCTCTGGCTTTTACAATCGGTGTTTCTCGTGCATTTCTAAAAAAAAGTTCTTTTATTATATATTATTGAAGGATTATTCTATAATAGGGAAACAAAAGTTGTATTGCATCGTGCTATATTAACTTGCAGCTTGGCACTGACGTTTTTACCATTTTTGGGCCTTACAATAATGATAGAGATATTATACATTTCTAATGTGGCTATGTTAATTAATACCTGTATATCCAACAAGTAATAGGATTCGAAATAGCTGATGCTCATTTTAAAAAAATATATTTATTAATATAAATCTTTAAAAAGAAAAATTTAATTAAACAAGTATATTACTAGTTGAAAATGATTAATTCGTACCAATTATTCAAAAAAAAGGTAAATAATTTAACAACTCAATCAAATTTACAAAATACTGTATAAGCTTTGACTATAAATCAACATATAAATTTTATAAATAATTTGATATATTGTATAATACTGTATTAATGGTTGTTTGGATTTAATTTTTTTTTTTCAAATATATTAAATCTTATTTAATATTTTATTAATAAAGATATTGATTTATTTATTTTATCAAATTTTTGTTATATATGTTATATACAGTATATTTATTTTGTCAAAAAAATTTTTTTTATTACAAACAAGCATTAAATACAAGACTTTATTTAAACAAAATGTTTACTATATTACATTAACAATTTTTATATAGTAACTTAATTGTAAC